GTTTGATAATTTCCTTCTCTTTCCAGATTTTCAAAACAGCTGTGCGTGCCACCTAAAATGCCGATGCCGCTTTCTCATGGGTGGCTCCGGGCTGATTCACAAAATCCAAAACTTTGAGCTTTGTCTTCACGTCTAAACGCTTGCGTTTAGACATGAGTGAGTAATAAAGGATGCATATTAAAAGAAAAAAAAACTCCCACCGAACAGGCCAGATTGCGTCGCGAGAGAATAAAATGGCCACCTAATGCATAACAACAGGGACAGATTGCAACGAGAGAGAAGGAAGCCCTCACCGAAAGCACTGTGACAGATCGCAGCGAGAGAGAAAGAGTAGCTCACCAAACGCAAATAACGCAGCTAGAGAGAAAGAGGAGCCTACCCAAACGCAAATAACGCGGGAAAAGATTTGATATACTCTTGTGAGTGACACCTCCGAATAGTGACATAAAACCCTAGAACGGTTATGTGTCACTATGGGGAGGTTTAACTCTGTAGTACTTCAGAAACTCCGATTTAGTTCTCGGAGGTGGATGCGTTCCAAACGCTGTTCTGGTGAGTGAATGTTGTGATTCCGACAGTTATCCAGATACAGAAGCGCCCTGGCTAAAGAGGCGTTCAATTAATGCAACAAAACCTTTCTCTAGAAACCTGGACCCGGAGCAGATGTAACATGCAGCAAGTCCAAATACTACACTACAAGTCTGACTTTCTGGAATGGACTATATATATTTTATGGACAGCCGTATCCTCAGAACTTCCTACAGGTTAGCTTGCAACTATCAAGCATGCCTTCTCTGCAATGGAGAGCACGTGCATCGCTAAAATTCATGAATCTCAGCCTTTGAGACCTCTGGTTGTATGTATGACAGGATATTTCAGACCCTGACGAAACTATTCCTCGCCATCTTCGCCATGTAATTGAAGCTATAGCCAATGTGACTCGCCGAAACCATGTACTGAGCAGCTGATGTGAAGTCGAGCATTGTATGGCCATTGACAGGAAAGTCAAGCGCTTAAGGTAATTACACCAGTCCGTTCATCGGGCAGAAGGAAACTTTTATTTCGAAGTAACTAGCAGGGCACCTGACACTTGTGTGACTGGGATAGTAGTGACTATATCAGCCCGAATAAGTGGAATGGTAGTTAGAACTGTTTCTATTACATGGCTTCAAGGATCGGTCATGAAGCTAGACTTAAACTGATCATCTGATCCAGATGGGAGGACTTGGGTGGACTGTTGTAATCGATCCATGATGCGCCTGTGACGGAATCAAGGACTTTTGATGTTGTCAAATCTCATTGTAATGCTTGTTACTGGTTCGAACTTTCAGACATAAGATATTTAATAAATGCGTGTTTCGACTCATTCGTAATTTCGCATCGGACATGACTAGGAGGTGTAGACTTCATTCTCAAGTTAGATTCAGACTCTCTCGACGCAAAGAAAATTTATTTCTGAACGTGACAATGTCCACTCTTCATTATTCACCGGAAAAAAAGGAATCGAGGTTGAAGGATCGAGAGACGATATTCGATTCTATCTCTCTAGAAACATCGACCAGGGAGAGACCAAATGAAATCCATGACACTCGAACGAAGCTGTTCTTTAGACTCGATGAGACAATATGTGAGACCATATGCCTGCTGACAGAGCTCATCTAAGTTCGCTGAGCAACGAAGTTACCTAGCTGCGATCGAAGTTAGCCAGAAGTACCATGTTCGTGTTCGTTATTTCTCGAAGAGGTTATGGTTGAGCTTCAGCAAGTGGTCCCGATATGGAAAGCCTTTTCTGTAGAAGACACCTGATCTCATTCCTACAAATCTTCCAATTTGCCTGTACAGCAAACCAGCACAGTTTCTGTACTGTCTTGTACTCTCGGGTTTGTCCTCGGTCTTACTTTCTTCAACACGTGTCCCTGGCATTGATCTGAATACGTCTAATCTCAACCGTTATTGTTGTTCTTGACTGCTCTTCTTCTGTAAAGTGAACATTTGAAACATGTTAACCTCACTCCATTGACAGGGGAGGAGCAAGTTTTCTGACGAGAGAATTCCCGAAACAAATGTAGATTATGCTCGAAGACCCTATCAAGAAGTGCAGGGGAGAAAGCATACAGTTAGTCCCCATTGCATCGAATTTGCTTTATCTGCTGATCCTTACAGATATAATATTGTACGTGTTACTAGATTTTGGAAGATCGCCTCACATGACTACAACTAGTTCTCATCTCTACAACTTACAAACAATGAGTGAAATAGACTCCTTTCATTTTAAGTAGAACCACACTCAAATAGGAGTTATGAAGATATCAATGGACATAATCAACAGGGAATCTCATCTCTTTTGAGCAGTAAGTGAACGTGAGGCAAAATAGAACTTTCCTTGGACTAGTCCACGTTGCTGCCATGGCATGAATCATAGGTGTCCAATCTGATCACGGAGAAAGGAGAGAAGTTCGTGAGCTATTTCGTGTCTCTTGCATATCATATAATATACGTAAGACAAATGAACCTCATTCTCTGTCCCTCATAAACACTTCAAGGATGAACATCTCTACAATCACAAACCACATGGATAGCAAAAAGATGAAAGTGTTCATATAAATAACTCCTGCCCAAAAAGCCACTTGTGGACTGCTGGCTAAAAGAAGTACATTCATATGTAGTATATTTTCGGCAAGAGTGATGTCCTGTGGCACAAATTTTTATAATCTCACTACCAAATTAATATATATATATACATAAACCACCTGTCAATGTCATACATCCCATGGAAAGCTAAGATCAGGAATTTCTTGAAAGAGAAAATTACTTGTTGAGACACTTGCGAATGTATTGAATTCATATGTAATTAAATATTTGTAAGAGTTTCCAAAAGTTACGAAATAGCTTCATAAATAGCACATTTTTCCACCAGAACAAAATATTTCATTATTTGAATTGTGAATAAGTTTGTTTTGTGTATTCAGTAACTTTTAACCACATTTTATTCTATGAAATCAATCATAGCCTGTAATAGAGTTGAAAAGATTGGGTTGACAAGAACAGAATATTGTGTTGATGTAAGATAGATACATGATAATAATATATATTCAATGTGCGTAAAAGATTATATCACTTGATCTCTTCAAAAGCTCGGTAAAAGCGTGAGACCTCACACTCCATATATCATTGATGAATTTATGTATACTTCTGTGTCAATGATTAAGAATAATGACATTTTTTTGCTTTGTTGCACTATATATTGATGTTATTGCAAATCTTTTTATTCAAAACTTCAGCGGATGTTCTTTGTTATACTAATTGATTCTTTCTAATAATTTCAAACAATACAAAAATATATAATCAAACATACAAAAAATATGAACATTGTGGATGTTTCGATTGGATTTTTACAAACAAAATCAATCAAGATTGAGAAGGTTCTAACGTATTTCAGCCTTTTATTGATATCTTCAATTATTTTATTCATCATTTTCAATCATATAAGTCACTTATATGATTTATATCACACTTATAACAAGTGTGATAAGTTAGTGCTTCAGAATCTGATCTCAAATACTACTCCGGAATCTGAATTCTCATCCCCATAAACTACCTCGTGCACCAGACACACCTTTGCAACGACAACCATCATCACCTACAGCAACCGGCTCCTTGGCCTTTTTCCAAACCGTGACGCAAAATTTGTTGAAGTGCAAATTTCAACCTCGGTCTTGTTGGATGTCGAGTCCGCAATTCAGGTTCGCTGATGAGGTTAACACGTACCTTTACCCAACCAAAAGTACAGTTTTAAGCAAAAGTGCCCTGTATTGAGCCCTGAGAACTTGCGGTACTCCCAGATAACCTTCCTATTTAGTACTAGCGACTTAGTACAACCGACGAACTGTGAATTGCTTACTCAATCACGTGAAAAGATGTAATCATAAAAGAGAGAAGAATTTGAACCTACAAACACTGTACACAAGTATTAATACTTGATAATGTTCGCCACTTGTGAGCATCTGTACGCTTTAATCTCAAAGATAGAAACATAAGAGACATTATTAAGAGCATTCTCAATATACAATACAGAGTAATAGGAAGTGGATGATAGAGTATACAGCGCTATAGAATTTGTCTACCTCTAGCCAGAACAATCACAAAATCCACGTACATTCGACGAATGATGCAAGATTTGTACATCAGAAGTGAGAGATATATAAAAATGTGATGGAAATAGGCATCACGGCGGCCATGGATGATCTGGAAGGAAGAGGTCTCTGGTGCGTTACGAGTGTGGCTCTCGTAAGAGCGGAACAGCCCATCGAGCTTTGATCCAGAAGCCCGCATCGTTCTGATTATTGAAAGTACGGCGAGAAAGGAGTGCGTGCAAGGCAGAGGCACTGCTTGCGAGCATGGAGTGTCAGCAGGAGAAGTACAAGGCCAAACGAGCAAGCTTGATTCCCAAGTGGAGCAACCACACGAAGCACGAGCTTCCGGGTAGATACCGTTCGGAGCGGGGACTTGAAGATGTCGCTGTGAGAGCCATGTTTCTGCTCTTGGGACCTGGAGCTGGACGTTTGCGGACGAGTGCCGATCAAGCATTGGGTTTGTCCACGACGGAGCAGATGCAACTTGTTCAGCTTTGACTGTGTGACAGTATCCAGTTCTCGAGAGCTGTGCATTCGCATGAGGACAAGTCGTAGGGAGATTTATATGAGGACGAACATCACCTCCTGTTCGTACACGTACCCGTCCAAGTGGTGGAAATCCTCTAAAGTTGCTGGAATGTGTCCCGTCTAGCAAACAGCGCGATGGGTGCTAGCTCGCTTGCCAACAATTCTCGGACTTATTATTCCTGTGTCACCAGACATTCTGCAAGACACACGAGTGAAAATCCATGCTACTTTCTCTCCCTCTGCTGATGGAGAGAACGTGGTTTGTGAAATTGCAGCTACGAGAAGATTCTGCTTTTAGACGTAGCTTTCCGGCCTACAGAAAAATTCTTCGAGTCGTACCTGATATTGCTAGTCGACAAGGAAAAGGACATGGAGTCGTCGAGTTTCTCTTGAAACCTCCCGTCATGGAAGATGCTCGATGTCCTGGCGTGAAAGATTGAGCGGCTAAAGAAACGCCCTTGAACAAAGATCGAGTATCCTGCGCTAGGTACAAGATAGACGCATGGGCGACGGTTAAGGCAAGGGCCTACAAGATTATCTCAACATTGTCTTCCTACGCATGCCATGCGTTGTGATTCTCTCTTTCTCACTATCTCGCTCGAGTGTTGCTGGATCAGAAGATGCTTTACGTGTGGATCTCTCCCGGAACTCTGCGCTTCTGCTCACGTGTGCGCTCAGCAAGCCTGCTGTCCAGAAGAAAATGATGAAGCATAAACCATGCGAGATTCCCACTCTGTTCACATGCAGATACCCTGAGCTGATGCAATTCTGCCGTGTACGGAGACAAGCTGGTCCGATAGTAAGAATAATCTTCTCTGTGGACAGTACCGGATGATTCCGTTCTCTGTCTAGCCTAGCCGCATCCCTCGCTCCCAGCTGCGCTCTACTGCCAATCTCAAGTACGGTTAACTTTAATGAGAAATCCACCCCCTGCCAGGAGACTTTGCAGCACTCTCGAACTCTGAATTCCCGAAAATGGTTAAGGTGTAAAGGAAGGAAAAGAATCATCGTCATGTACGCACATTTCGTTTCATTTCGTGCCAGGACTCGATCTCGACGTGAGCCATAGGTTGGTTGTATCAGATAATATGGGCCAGATGAGAATGCTCTGGAGATTCGGTCATCACTGTCTCCTTCGCTCTCGACTGCAATTTCTCTATCTTTCCAGGACTCGGGCACAACCCTCATGCTTGTGTTCCAACAGCAAGCGAAGGAATCATTCCTCCGTGTTTTCTTGCTGGGAACCGACCGAGAGATGCTCGAAGAACAAGGCGAACGCAAATAGGGGCCGTCAGCCACATGCCGGCCCCATGCCACATGATCGATCGTCTCTCGGGTCGATGCACGGAATGAGATCTCAGATCCATCAAATGCACACTGAAAACTCGACCAGTGATGAGCAAGAGGCGCAGCTTTTGAGCCCCGCCCGGGAGAGATATCACCTCCATCAGAAAGTGTCAAACACATAGATGCAGATGCAGATGCAGATTGACTGTCGGGACGGGGTACAGATGCACGAATATAACGCGACCGTTTTGGCCAAATTCCGGAGCTGATATTGTTGTTGTCAACGCCTTGATTTTCTTTCCCCATCGATCCTCTGATAACCTACATCAGACACGGCAGGACTGGGCAGGGAGGGCCATCAAGCTGAGCTGTGCTGGGCTGGGCTACAATCTTAATTCTCATCCGTCGAAAAACATTCGGCACGTAGGCAACAGCTTCAAGCCTCCACGGATCCTGCCCACGATTTCTAGGTGCCCATGGCCAAAGCTTGAAACGTGTAGCCGCTAGATTTAAAGCAAGTCTATACGCGAAGATAGCTCACATATTCCTGCTGCTGCCATAGCCGACGGGAGGTTGGAAGCATAATATCACATATCTCTGTGTGGCTTGTAGGCAAAATTCTAAAAGACAAAGCTCAAATGACGAGATTCCCGAGTGGAACCCAGCGCCTGAGGCACAAAATTCTTGCTTGGGCGAGTACTCTATTTGAATGGGTGCCTCAGTAGGGCCACGACAACGGGGGGATTCATCAAAGAAACGCCGATGATCCAAATGGGCGAATAAGCCCGGGGCAGGGTGGAAAAAGAAGAAGGCAGGAAATTAAGAACCGCAGGACGAGGCCATGCAGGTCCAATTCACGAACCACATGGCCCGTGCAACACCATCTGCACGCTCGTCTGAACGCGGAGCAAAATCGCACGAGATTGAAGGGCCGCAACCTTGCAATCGGGGGATCGATCAGTGTGCGACAAAAGGGCAGCGGAACGCAGTCCATGCAGGTCAGCGAAGGATCCATGCGCCGAGCAGTGCTGCCTGGCTGGCCATCGTCTCGAGTCCGTGCCTCGCCTTTCTACGCCACAGTGTACGATGTGCCACCGCGTGGAATACTGGACAAGGGTCGTACGAGGGCGGCGGCAGGCGGGCGGTCTCAGCTCCGACGTTCGGCGCGGCAGCAACAGTGTGCTCGAGGAGAGGAATTTTTGAAATCATTCGAGGAAGTCATGAGTGAATGGACGAGGGCGTCGCTTTATGAAGAGGCTGGTCGAATTTTGCGCGGTACAGAGTGGTTTGATAATGCATAAATTTGCAGGCTGAGTGGTGGAGAATCTTTCAATTGTATTTGGGACGATTTGCAGATTCCAATCGTCAAATCCTGTCATGATTGATGCCATTAGCTTTTCTGACCACGAATCTAAGATTGTATATTTCGTACGGAGATCTCCATTCGACGGAGAGAGAGAAAGCAGAGCACGCAAGCAATCTTGCACGACGCACTGTGTGTGGCACAGGAAGAAGCCTGGAAAACGAACGCAGGCGACTGCCAGGTGCATGCGCACTTGTAGCAGGGGAGAGTTCATTCGGTGTGCGACGCACGAATCCTGCGAGTTTGTTCTGAGGGATGGCGCTTTGTCAACGCATGCAGATGTTGTGCCGAGCGGAGCCGAGTTTCGATGTGCGTTGTCACTCAGATCCACATGAGCGGGGAATTCCAGCTGCCACTCAGCGTCCTGATTAAGGTTTGTGCGCACATTAGATGACGTTTTATGCGGACAAAGCATTTGGTTAGATGGAGATGGAGATGGATTGATTAAGCTGCGATTGCCACCCACCATGCTTTAGATAATAGATCCTTGAGTCGATGATACGAGGTATGCGAGCAAGGAAGCAGAATTCTGGATGGTCGGTCGGTCGACAACTCACACGAGTTCACCATTCTGTGCATTGTTTATCCCGTGGACAGGATCACATGGGCAGAGAATAGTTTCTGACTGCTGCTATTGAGGCAGGAGCAGGCCCCGGTTTGACATTTGGCGTCCGATGGGCCGCAAACGGAGTGGAAATTGCACGCGGGTGAGGAGCTACAGCCCCAGCCAGAGCCGGCTCCTCTAAGGTGGGGACGGACATCTTTTCGGGAGATCGCTTTGTACAAACGCTCGACAGAGGGACTAGCAGCAGCAGCAGCAACTGCAGCTTGCTGGTGTCAGGTGAGCGTGCACTGGTGAAAGTACCGTGCGATTCATATGCTTTCTTTACACCCAGATGTTCTTCCAGGTGAGGCGACGAGTTCTGCTCTCATGATGATTCTCAGCTAGTCCCACGAGTGCAGCATTTATGAGCATCTCAAAAGTCTGCTCTGTGTGCCTACCAGTTCTCCATCATGAGCACAACTTGATAGTAAATTGACGAAGTCACTACGAGGCCAGGGGGAGGTGAGGTGAGGTGACAGAGATCAGGTTCCATCGACCTCGTTTCACCGAGCCACGGGGCTGGCTGGTTGGGTTTCTCTCGCTTCCTGTTGCTTTCTATGCTCGCAGGTAGAGGGGATGGCGGTGGGGAGGGAGGAAGCGTGAGGGCGTCTGAGAGACCTAGATGTGCACACACTATGGTGTGTGCTTGTGTGACGTCCAAAATAAGACTAGAGAATAGGAGTCGTGGAGGTGTAAGAGATAAATCTGACAACTGCTTTTTCACTCGAAGAATCCCTGTCCGAAACAGCAGGAGCTCGCTCACGGAACGTACGAAAAGATTGAGATCTTGAAAGGGTAAGTCGCTAATCATGGGCGCATGTGGATTGCAGGAATGCTGCTGGCTGGTGGGCGGGCGGGCCCGGAGCGATGTTGGTGTCGATATGCGGGATGAATGGATGGATCGAGAGATAACTCGGCAGCAGCAGGTGATAGTTGAGCCGAGTTGCGTCGAGCTTTTGCAATGCTGCTGCTGCTGCTCCTCCGAGTTCCAGCCGAACCATGATTGCGAGTAAGTATCTTTGACCACTGTGCTGAGTCTCGACAGCTGAGGCCTAGACGAGAGACCTCCCTGCCCGCCTGCCTACTACTCATACTACTCCGCTGGCTGGAATTTTGTCATGTGCACTCAATCGTTCCGGATTCGCATCAACACCTCGCCAGCAGAAGCGAGCAACACTAAGTCGGGTACGGCATGCAGGATTCACCAGATCATCCACAGGTGAGTACGGTGAAGATGATATCTGCTCGCAGTCTCATGATGTGAAAGCAGGTACCGACCTCGGCCTCAGCTGATTGCTGTCATTCTTTTCCTTTTATCCTCGTTTGTGCATATGCATGTGTTTTATTGACTACAAATGAATAGCCTCCTGGGTCGGTAGATAGCTGGTTTTATTTTTTTTCTCAATTTGAGCAGCAGAGCTCTCGGCTGCGGTAGCATGCAGTAGGAGTGGTAGAAGTAGAAGTAGAGGTAGAGGTAGCAGTAGGAGCAGTATTTTGACGCGAGTAGGCTTGCGCCTTCGTTTGTCTGTCTCACGGATGTCAAAGGGGTTCGAGTTCACATGAATGACCTCGCTGGCAGGTGAGCAGGATGGCAGATTCAGGGCATCATCTTGTCACTCGTCCCTTTTGCGCTCTGGTGGGGTTGCAACTGAAAAACTTGAGTGCCCTCTCTTTTGAAAGGAAGAAACCGTTAGCTGGAGAAGTACGAAAGATTCTCGCACCGCAGGGCGTCGCTCGTAGTCCATCAATGCAAGCCCGCTTGAGAAGAAGCCATAATTGGAGTCAAAGCCTTCCTGTCTGTCCTCTGCCTGTGCGGGTCCCTACCACTTCGTGCGTCCAATCATCACCTCTCGAAGACTCTATCTGTGCTAAGCAAGTGCGGCCAGGCCATTTTATAACGCTCGAAGATCAGACCGGATCGATGGATGAATGTGTGGGTATCGCAGCTGAATCGCCTACAGTACTGTTTTGAAAGCGTTCTCTATCTTTCTGCACCCGAGACTGGACGAGACGAGCAAGAGTTGGTATTCGTCGTCGTCGTCATCGACTGTTCTCGTTTGACTCTCTTCAACTCATATGCCTTGAACCCCCCTACGCCATGCCATCTCGGCCGAGTCAACTTACCCAGTACAGTGTACAGTACACAAAAGTCCATCTCCGGAAAATCTCCGATTGGGCGAGCCATGGAGCTAGCCTCTGCTTTACTCATGTGCTCAGGAGCTAATGGCGTATCGAAGCGGGAAGCTTGCTTTCCTTTTGTTTCCCTTCGCTTTCGTCTGCTCCCGTTTGCCTTGTTGGTTAGAACCTGGCATTTATTAATGGGGGGATTTCCCAAAATCTCCGTCTGTGCCCGCCCGGCCGGCCGATGACGATGTCATGACGACACATTAGCCGATTCGTCACTGTGCGAGCGCTAATTATGCAGTCTCATCACCTTCTTGTTGTCTACCCGGGCGTCCCCTGGCACACCTTGTTTCCACGCCACCAAAGAGTCTCTATCCACCGTCTTTTCTGACCCCAGGAGGTCTCCTCTTTCTCTGTCTGATTTCTGACCCTTTTTATGGAATTCCTCTCTTACTGGCACAGAAGTACGTCAGGGGGTGCTGTGGGCGCACTCAGGCACTCAGACTAACTATAACAAGGACTATTGTTTCTCAGCTCTATCCAATAGGAAAAATCTATCCAAACCATTTCACTCAGCAACTGACTCAGGCGCACTTCGACACTTCCACAACCGTGGCTAATGCACGTACCGTCTTTTCTTACTTCTTCTACCCATCATCACTTTCACTCAGCAACTGACTCCGGCTGGTAGCCAGCCATCCATCGTACACGCTATTGTGCTCTCGTCCTTGCTTCCTTGTTATTGGTGATGGTAGCGCTGCTACCTTAGTATACCTGGCTGCTGTACCTCCCCGGCTATGGTCGTTGTTACATTAGCTAGAGTTGCAGTGTGGATTCCATAACAGTAAAAGTGAACGCGAGGTCACTATTCTTCTCACTCTCGCCGAGAGGTCTCATTCAATTCTGATCCTCCAGCCATGATTGGCACAGCTGCAGGATCTGCCCCGTCCATCCCTCTCCTTCCCAGTCCAGTCCAGTCCAGTGCAATCCAGTACTGTACCTGTCCTGCCAAACCCCCGTGGCCCTTCCCTCATCCTTTCTGTGATCCTCCACGTACTTTCGTGACGCGCCAGGCCCACCTCATTCCCTTCTGCCTGCCCCACCTCCCTTCACCTTACCTCTCTCTGCTCTCCTCCTGCCCTTCTTCCCCAGAGAGACAGAATGCGAGAGAGAGAGAGCGAGCGGAGTCAGTCTTTCATCCATCCATCCCTGTTGCCTCTGCGTTCGAGGAGTGCTTTCAATTATCAAATGACCTTCACCTTTCATCTCATGGGACACTTCTACTTACATCGATGTGTATCCAGAATTCGTTCGCTCGTCCATTCATTCGCTCACTCGGTCTTTCAGTCAATGAGCGAGCGAGGGACCAACCAAACGAGGCAGGTAGTCTTTGCGTTTAAGTAGCCGTAGAAGGAAAGAGAACAGATCATTGCTCGACTGGAAATTACATGTAGGAGGAACACATAATTGTTTGGATGGGCAGGAGGATGTGATGACGCTCAAACTTTTGCATTCGGCATCAGCAGCTACAGGAATCAATCAATCATCTGCTGGTGCCGCCTGGGGCCACCCTGGCCTGGCCTGGCCTGGCTGCTGCCGCTGCGGGTCCCGGATTGTTTGTTCTTCATGGTATGGTGAAATCTCGAGCGCCTCAGCGTTACCCAACCTTCTCGAGCCTCGTGCCGCCATATCTCCCAATTCGGCCTCTTTTGCAACCCCACATAAAATAGTATAAAAACCGTCTGTGACTCTAAAGTTCGTTCAGTGATCCACTTTCCTCGTTTGAACGTCCACCCGTGAGCTGCCCAGCTCGAGTTCGAATTTCCAAGCTACGCTCGTCCTAAAGACAAAAAAGTTTCGTTTCCTTCCAGCGTAGGCAGATTCTGTCATCTCTTCTGATCCACACATTCCGATTTCAAACCTGAAAGACGAGAGTTTTTTTCTCATTACATTCGCACACTGTTTTCGCCCTCAGCCCGTAAGCAAAGACCGGTTAACGAGGGATGGCAGCAATGATGAAAAAGCAATGAAGCTTTCATGGATAAGGCCTGAGAGGTCACGCGCACTCTATTCCAGTTTGACGATTTCACCACCAGTGCGCACTGTGCAGCAGACCTCGCCTGCCGGGAGTGGGATGTGATAGCGAGGGCAGGGCAGGGCAGGGCAGGACGGGAAGACGGAGCAGAGCAGGGCAGGGCAAGGCAGAACCCCATGCTCATAAAGAGCTCGCAAAACCTGTGGTTTGCAGTGGATGGATGATCATTGAGAGCATCTGACCCGGTAACCGGGATCTCGCAAATCTAAGCTGCATCCGCCTCCGGCTGCTGATGATTATCATTGGAAAGAAAACAAATTTGCTTATGTGTCAAGGTTTGAAGATGCTCGTATACCACCCCGATTCTCCATACCTGTCCTGAAGCAGTATGGTTCCTGTAGGTTTATGTTCGGATGGTCCTAAATTGAGCGGAGATTGTCACAAGTGTTAACCTCCGAGTGATTTCATCCTTGCAGAATCAGCATTTCTGGTCGATTTCAGAGTGATGCAAATCTAGATTGTCGTAAGGGATAAAGTTTACAAGCGTCGCGTAGAGCGAGTGCAATATAGGAGAGCTTCGAGGCTGCATGTTAACCCCACACGCAAATGGAGGGCCGAAAAGCTGGAGAAGTCAGATACTCTGCGCAGTAGGAGTAATACTGGTTTGTCAAGCGACCAACTAGGCTGCAAAGTAACAAATGTACACATCCGAATTCCATCTCTTTTCAAATGATTGCCAGGCCCATTATAACCATAACAAACCTAAGCTAGACAAACTTCTTGCGAGGAAATCTTCGGAGCCTCAAAAGCTTGACTTTGCATGTGAGAGAAACATGACAGCCAAATGAGCACCTCCTTTAGATCACGCTAGTCATGAATATCCTTGGGTCAATGCCCATGTGCTCAAACATGCGCGCCCTTTACACGCTATCCCGGAGGAAATGGTTGATGTACAGAGCGATGGTTTCCCAACTAAAGGACCAGAGTTTCAGCACAGTGCACGAGTGTAGCCAGGTTGCCGAACGTCAGTCAGATCGACTGTCTGGCAGGGGCCATGAAGTTAGAGATTCTCTCGTCGAAATAAGCGTTGAACTAACTCTCTATTCCGTCTCCGTGTGTACAGTGGTGGTGCCACTAGTGGAGTCTCTCCTGGTACTTCGCCGCGCCAGAAATATTGCTTGCAAGTTAATCACGGCCGAACAAGATTGGTAAAATCTTCTGGATTCCCCTGGCCACTGATGCTGGCAGTTTTCTCCAGTAGGTGAGTGATTTCTTTTCCTTCCAGACGGGATCATCTACCCAAGAAGATCACAGTGCAGATCGGATCAAGACTAACGTAAATGAACCATGCACTCGCGCTTGATTAAATCCTGCCAGTCCAGTCTTCTAGTGCACTGCGTTCTTCACCTCCGCATCTTGCCACGGCAGAATCGCGCCCACCAGGTCGTGGTACAAAAGGGTGTACGACTCGATGGGGTCAGCCCAGCCTTCTGGTAAGGTAACCGAGGCCCGTCGGGTATGACGTGAGACGCTGCCAATCAATCCGAGGTATCTCTTGCGGTTTCCGATGAACTGTAGTCGGTGTCCGAATTGAGGCAAAGTGGAAGCAATAGTCGTGCGCAACGCAACGCAGCGAGAGGGAGGGCAAAAGGTAAAGGTGGGAAGAAGGTCGCGCGCTTCGAGACCGTAACAGAGAGAAAAGAAAACGGAACAGATTGGATCGAAGCTTGCGAGAAAAGCAAGCCGCTGCACTGTGCGGGCGGGTGGGGGAGGGGCGAGAAATAAAAATGACCATCGCGACGCGACGATCGAAGCGCGAGCCGTGGCCACTAAAAATAGAGCCGGATAGATCGCACCGCAGGGCGCTGCGTGAGGACAAGCACTATGCGGACAAGCACAGTAAGGTTCACATCGCTCGCGCGCTCGAGCCCCCGGACGATGGCACCAAAAGTTCTCGAACCAGTTGGCCGATCGATGTCAGTCAGCAGTCGGGACTAGGCCCCAGACTACGACAGAAACCGCAACAAATCTCGAGCCCTTTCCCCCGCGGAGAAGCGTTTAGCGTTTAGCGTTTGCGTCCGCGGGCGCCGTAAAATAAGCACAATTCTTGATCCGAGAGCGGGCGGCCTTGCGTAGAACATCGGGCCCGAACCTTTTTCCATCGCTGGACCGACCGTACCAATATGCTCTCGCTCGTCGACCTGGCGGGCTACCCGTCGCCAGGCTCGATGCATTCGTCGTCGTCGTCGACCTTCCAGGCGATCTCAGGAAGGGCTTCAATCGTTCAATCTCCGGAACAGCTTTGGATTGGCGAGGTCCGCCCGTCCTCAAAGTGCATTGATTGGAATTACAGATCTGCTGCTCGTCTCGGACGAAACAGAGGCCCAGATCTTTAGTTTCTATTCTTGGACGCGCGAATTTTATATTTGCCGTCGGACTTTCGGGGCAGCGCGCATGTGGACAACATGGTCAATGGTCGCGCTGCCGCAGAGGGCGATTCCGGGAGGCCGAGTGTACTCGGCGCAGCACCACGTCGAAAGAAAGCGACCCTCGCAAGGTTCGCCCTACGTCCTCGACGACGATGGGCACGGCTGCGGCCTTGGTCGCGGTCGGTTAAAGCTTCGATCTGTGCATCTGCGCGCGCGGGTGCGGGTGCGAGAGAAAGTTTGTGCCCGCAAGGCATTCGTCGATGGAGCGATGGCCTCGTTGTCGTCTGGCGATATCCTGAAAAGTTGGTTGCTCGATGTCGGCATGAGCTTTCGAACAAATTTTCGATCGGTCGCGCTCGGGACCTGACGAGAAGAGGACAACGATGCGATGGATTTACCCTGCGTCCGCACGGACTGTTCGCCTATGGCCTGGATCGAAAGAGCCTCGCAGTAGGCCTAGAGTACAGTATTGTCATGTCAGGCAGCCGGTGAAAAGGTCAGAGAGCCAAGGGGTTTTCTCTCTGTATTTAAGATTTAAACCGACCGTGGATCCAATCTGGCGACCCCGACTTTTCACCTTTCTCGTGCATCGAAAATGGGCGCAAGACGTTGGAGAAATTCATTCATTGTGCTGCGTGAAGTCTATCATAGCATCGTCAAGAGTTGATGAGTTTCACCTCGTAGTCTTCGAGAGTATCGACAGCCGATTTGATGCCAGGTGAACGAGGACATTTGATTCTCTCCGCAAATGGATCAAATGGACTTCCCTCGATCTTGTCTCTTTCCCACGTTATTCTTGTTCGAGATTGACAGCCATCAAGGCGAAGAAGAAATTTTTAGATGAATAAATCAATCAGGACCCGATCGATGAGCACAAGCCTTCACAAAGCTCAAAGATACATTTTTAGTCAAAGTATCCGGCTGAAAAGAAAAGTATAACGTTTTGATCATTGAGCATGATAGCAACAACATTCAAATTTGTGATTTTTACTTCTACACAGACAGGAAAAACCCCGCTGCTAGGTAGATGATTGCTTATTGAAAGAGGACCTAGGAGGGAGTATTCATGCCAGGAAAGAAAGTTCGAGTAGAGCCTACGGTCCAGACTACTGATGCACTGTGCTGCTGCTGCTGCTACTACTCCTACAGAGCTTGGCTTGGCCGCACTCAGAGTCTCAGTGCCTATGTTCTCGGGATTACGCAATCCACGAGGTATGGTTCAATGGGTATAATATGCACAGCATATTACCTCGGAGCGCTCGGTATGTCCCAGTATGCAGAACATGTATGTATGTATGAGAGAGAGAGAGTGTGTGTGTTTTACAACGCTGGATCTTCCACACGCAGTTTAAGTGTTGAAATCCGAGGTCCTACAGGGGTCAAGAACTTTGACCCAGAGAAATGAAAGCAACCGGACTGATCTGAATATGGGTGAGGAAGATGAGAGTTCGAACAAGTCGTTGAGATAAGCTCCTCCAGGACGGTCGGGTGCGGTGAGTGACTGAGCGAGCGAGCGTGTGTTGATGATCAATGACCCTGCTTCAGCGTTCACATGGGTTGTATTTCCGAATGCATGCGTAAGGGCCTGATGACTCTGATCATCGAGTACAGTAGGACTGGAAGCATTCAGAGAGGTGCGCTGAGGCCTTTGCATGGATAAACTTCCATACCCAGAAATTTAAAGTTTTGCAAAGGAGTTCCACCTGTGCAAGGCTGATTGAGTCGAGTAACCAGCAACATTGTCTTTTTTGCTTCCATTAATACCTCCTGAGCACTAAGCCAGCCTGGCGGTGGAAAGAGTTTAGGAAATCATGTCAACTCGAGTTACTGATGAGATCTAGAGGACCCTACTGCAGTAAAATGCAATAGTGAAAAGGTACCATTCAAGGTGGCCTCAAGTTTGAAACACCCAAAGACTTCTCGCCCACTGAGAGCCCAGGAGGGCACGTGAAGATCAACCCGGTCCACGAGGTGTCGAGAATTCAGTTCTTTCCTATCTTCTTCCATGAGGTGGTTTTCCTGGCTTCCCATGTGTGCTAAACCTTTGGCCAATAGTGGCGACCAAGCACTGATTCTCTGTGACTTGACACGAGTGGCATCCTTTATGACTTCCTGTTCGTTTCTAAAAAACATAAAAAAAACAAGGTCAGCCGAGTTACAAATTTGACGAGCCGCTTGATTACGATCAGTTCCAAATTATTCCGCATTCCAGTTGTACAATAGTCATTTATGTTATCTTGTCATTCCTTCTTCACCATTCTGCTCCTCGACGTTGAGCTAAGTTCCAACACTAAACTTAGCCGTGTTTTGTTTCGTTGATTAATTAGTTCATTCGATTTACCTGACTGCTTATTTTGTACCAACACCCTAATCATTCTCGCTAGACTGAAAGACATCTTCATAAACATGTCAAAGATAATGTGTGCCAATTTGGCAAGCAATAGTTGGTCACCGCTAAAATGACCACGTGAAGACTGAGAGGTTTCACTAGTTTCTTAATTTAACTTGATTCAAGCAGCCATGCCAATCTCTTTGGACAGCCTTCCTTTAGAAGGCCGTTGCCTAACCTTCCGGCTGAACTTCTGGTCCCTGTGGTCAAAGCGCCAGAAGGAACATTCACGCATGGGATATTTCACTTGTACATCCTCGTGTGCATACACTCAGGAAAACAAATGATGGCCTACGCTCGGCCTGAAGCTTTCTAGTCTCCTGTGGCCCCCACACAGTCTATCCCCAGCTCTTTGGAACTTCGGATACAACAGATACATTTCCTTTACGTGCCCAGATTTTTCCAGCTACTTCACTTTCGCGTGCACTGCATAATATGTTCAGACTGTCGTGTTCTGTATTGATCAATATTATAAGTGTTGAACTGCAATTCTGTCGAGCCAATTCCACCTGACCACGAGCTTTGGTACAGTTTTGATCATAGCAACCCGTTGAGTTCGGTTAAAAGAAGCTATTTAGCCTGAACCATTCAACAAACCCTTCTGGTGTTGGTCATAATAATAGTTGCTTGAATACCACTCTAAATACTGTAACAAAATTATAAATTCATATTTGTCAGTTTGGACCACTATTCTGACACCAGATTGATCATTCAAACTCTAAACTCTTAGCTTTTCAATCCCTTTTGTCAGGAAGGACACGAAATGCAAATAAGGGAAAACTATAACACTAAAAAGGCATATACACATAAGATAAGTCGTCATACTTGGCAACAAAAAGTTGGAGTTCTCTATTGATTTTTTTTCCTTCATGCAAGTAGTCGATTTAGAACAAGTCTCCAAAATGTGTGGAAATCTGGACTTTACATCCAAAAGCGTGATCAGTTTTTCTCCAATCTGCAGTGCATGGGACTGATGAAAGATTCTTAAGACTTATCACTGTTTGCTGATATCAGTGGAATATTTTTCATACATTTTTCACCATATTTTTGGAAACATTTATATCACATTTTAAATCTTCAATGTTTCAATTCAACTCTTAGTTCAAAAACATGTTACAAATGTTGTTAATTCTAGTACTTTTACTGCATTCTCCAGCTATGTAATCACAAATTCTTAATTGGAAAAAAATTTGATAGTTAATGTCTTTAGAATGTCATTCAAGAATAGGTATCAGAGCTCAATAACTGCTATGCTAAAGTACTTAACCAATTAGTAAATTTTGGAATTTGTATAATTTTTTGAATAATGAAAAATTAACGTGATCTTATTGTCAAACAAAAAAATTGTGACTAGTGATTCGTTGAATGTTACAAAAGAAAATCTAAATTTTATAAAGATTTCTTTAAGATAATTTTAATGATATGAGTAAAATTATCTCTGCCCAAATATGCAACTTGAACCGGCGAGGATTGAGCGTACTATTGTGCGCACTTTAGACAAATCATTTACTAATCGCTGAATTCTGCTGCAATCATAGAAACCGAATGACAAATCTAGCTCAACTGCTTGTGATGTAACAAACATAATTACTCCGCGTAATTTACATTGTAAAAAATTACATCGACAAATAAAAATAATTTTTGATTATAAAAAATTAACAACAAGTAAATTTCTATAGAAAAGCAATATAATTTGGAAAAAAAGCAAACAATGAATATCAAGCAAGTAATTTGAATGAAAATTATGATGAAATGAAATTACTTAATTATACAAGAGAAACATGCCTGATGCACATATCTACTTAATTTTGGGATCTCTCGACATCACCGAAAATAAGCTAATTTGGGAACCATTTCAAAGTTATTTTCAGGAAATTTGGAATATGGGAAAATATGGCAAATAAAGCTTTATTTATAATTGGATATAACCTGAAAAAGCGTACACTGTCTACAATGCATTATTTCTTCAAGGGAGAAGTTCGCTATACAACTCCTATATTCATCCTTTTCTCACCCCAATACAGAGAAATCAAACTCAACAGAGGCCATATTGAGAAACACGATGGGCGATGTCATCATGAAACTACACCAGAAACCAGAATCATTCATTGTTAGAAGCCCAAGCTTGCTCAAAGTTATGTTGACCTTCACTTTCATTACATGTGTTCACAACATCCTTAAATGCGTACTTTTTGCGGTACGCTCGCTTCAACTTCACAAAATCCTCACTGATCTTGTTGATCCATATATTGCTAAATGTATCCTTAGAACGGTACTTCTATGAACAAAAAGTACTTGAAAAAGCTCTCATATCAACATTGACGAGATGAAAAGGTAAGACATGTGGCAACTTCTCCCCGACTTCATTAGCAGAATCACTCTCAGTCACAATTAATGAAATTCTATTTGCGCCCTCGACAACCAATCGAGAGATATCTACCTCTGGTAAGTCAGCAAGAGTGTTATACACCCAAACACCCAAATTTTCCAAACAAGCACAAGTGTGACGATGTGTAATCGCAAACTCAGTTGTCAAGGGATGGAATTGATTGATCACTTTCTCAATTAATGGACCCTTCATTTCACTCATTCGGCAATATGTTTCCATGAGAACTAATAGACATCAGATTTACTAGAATAGCAAAGTATTGAGCCCTTATAAGAGGACAAACACAAAGTTCACTTCTTCAACAAAAACATTTAGAGCAAATAAAAACATCCATCACATTAAAGTAGAACTGCACGCAAGCTACTTTTCGTCTAGATATTGTCGAATTCGCAAGCGATTTCTGCACAGTCACCTTGAGATTTTTTCATTGACAATCAACAAGTGTTGGCCATTTTTGGACAGGTTGCTCTCATCTCATTGACTAGGTTTTGCTGACGACGCAAGTATCAAATTAGTGCAATTAGTATGAAAAAAAATTCTTTGTCCAACCCTCTTTGAAACACAATATGCATCTTGAGATTTTGTTGAGGTAGCCCACACCAGATTCGAACTATGCATGATTGGACAGCTTTCTCAATGCAAGTTACGAGCACGCAAATCCACCCGATCATGATACGATCACCATTAGTGGAGACTCAGACGATATGTTTCCACCAAATAAGTAGCAATGCATTAAAAAACTTCTCCAATACAATGAACAATTTGGCTTCTGTATATCCAGGATATGGAAGTTTTGGATATTAGATTTGATGATCACCCGAGAACCAACATCAAAATAAGACATTCCTTAATGAGTGGAACAATCCAACGCGATGGAAAATGTCTACACTTGTGACATCACATCTGAAAGTAATTGAAGTGATATAGAGGAAACGATTCTTGAATAATTAGAGGCCATGACATCGCTGCAACCTCCTAGATATGATAAACTAGTTTGCTCATAGTCATTTGCAACAAACGAGATGTCAATCAGAAAGCGGCAACGCATTTCATGTATCGGATGCAAAGAAGCAATCGTTGCGATGTCTTGACAATGATCACGTATTTGTCCTCATTGTTAGGATCTCTCATCTTCGAGTGAACTTCTCTCTAAACCCTAGTGTTACATCAACATACCGCAGTTTGAAATGCTTTATAAAGTAGAGTTAAG